CAAACCAAAGAAAAACCCAGTCCAGCTGCCCCGGAGTTGATTCTGACGCACGGTGAGCACATGTGTGTTAGAGGTGGGTGAACCATGCTCCATAGTTTTTAATGGCTGATTAAATAAAAAAAAATTCACCCCACCTTTCTTCTGTGGCACTTCTGAGTGGTTTTGAACCATCTACCTTTTCGCTAGTAGGTTAGGACTTAACCATTTGCACCACCCAGGAATTCTAGGTGGATGGTGAAGGGTGCTATTTCCTTTCTGGGCTGGATAATGTTGATGTTGAGAGTAGGGGTTGAAATCCATTCCCTGTGCTGTGTGACTTTTAAGGGCTAGAGACCTCCTATCAAAGACCATGGATCCAGACCCCATACGACAGATCCCTCAGAGCACCCACAATTGGATGGAGTCAGTGGGTGGATTGAAGCCTCTTTTCTCCCTTATTGGCCAGCATAGGTCACATGACTATCTAGCTGCAAGGTCCTCTGGGCAAGTGAATACCAGATTCTTTCAGCTTTATTTGTTGGAGGCTGGCTACCTGTCATCATGGAAGAGGGGGAGGGATGTAGCTGCCCGAACAATCAAGTTAGTCTTTCACACATCCTTCAATATACATTTACTGAGGCCCTGGTGGTGCATCAGTTAAGCATTCAACTTTCCAGTAGAAGGTTGGCTGTTTGAATCCACCCAGTGGCTTCTTGGGAGAAAGACCAACTAATTAATTAATTAATGTTGCTGTGTTCTCTGCCCAGTCGGAGCTAGTCCATAGCTGACCCTCCAGCAGGTTTTCAGAGGCAGTAAATTACACGGAAGGAGATTGTTCATCCTTCTCCTGTGGAGCAGCTAGCTGGTGGATTTGAACTGCATGCCTTTGGGATTGCAGCACAGCTTCTTACCACTAGGTTCCTGTAAACATCACAGCCTCTAAAACCTCATAGGGCGGTTCTGCTTATGGGGTTGTTAGAAGTGTAACGGACTTGACAGCACCCAACAACACAGGCCAGACTTTCTATTTCAGCCAAACCACTTTATCTTTTATTTTAAGTTTCCTATATTTTATTTCTTTGCTTGCTTGTTTATGTTTCTGTTCTTTCTTGGTCACTCGTGCAAAACGGTTGCTTTGTTTCACTGGCATTTTCAAAGAACCAGCTTTGGGTTTTAACGGACTGTATATTTTGGATTGTATTTCACTCATTTCTACTTTTCTTTCTCTTAGTACCTTTTTTCTTTTGAGTTTATCTTGTGGATTATGTTTGCTGAGCAAAAAAATTGTTTTATATTCAGACTTTAAAACAAGAGGTAATCTGAAAGCATCTAAAATAGCCGTGGTGGTGTTAGTGCATTCAATGTTTGGATGTTAATGGAAGGGTCAGCAGTTTGAATTCACTAGAGAGTTCCGTTGATGTAAGTCTGAAGTTGCAACACTAATTCAGATGCTGTGCCTCTTTGGCAGTTTTTGTTCATGAGTGTTTCCACAGTGGAAAGATGATGGGCAATCTCTTCCCATGCAATTTATAGCCTCAGAAACCCAACAGAAGGTCAGTGATGTATGAGTTCTTGCCAGTTCAATAGCAAGGAGTGAGTGAGTGCTCCCTGGCCTAGAGCAAGATGGGCAGTCTCCTTCTGTAAAAATTTACAGCCTCAGAAATCTGAGTGAGAATCTACTCAGTGGCAGTGGGTTAAGTGCTTCTAAGCGTCTAAGACTATCATTTTCCCTCTGAGTACAGCTTTGACCATCTCTCAGAGTATTTATAAGTTCTCACTGTTGTTTGATTCTGGTTGGTACTTTATGTTTTGATTGCTTTGCCTTTTCAATCTAAGTATGATTCAGGTTTAAACTTTTTTCATATGTATAGGTAGTTTTGGATGAAGGGGAGGGGATATGTGTGTAGTGTGTATGTATGTATGTATGTATGTATGTATGTATGTATGTATGTATGTATCTATCATCTATCCATCCACACAAAATAATCTTGGAATTATACTTGATAATCTACTTTTGTTTCACCGGTATTTTAAATAATCTCTTTACCTGAACTTGCTTTTAAGTTTCTGAGACTAATAAAATGCCTTGAAAAAATCTAACCCATGCCACGTCCACACTTTTTAACTTAGGGGCAAACTGAAGCTCGAATGAGTCTGTGATAAGTGTAGGGCTATTTTCTGGCTTTTTAAATCCTCTTTTTCAGGGTGATGTGTCATTCTCACTACCTATCATCTCAAGTTTGCCATTTTTGGCTCTTGCCTCTGGTAGACCCATCAAGCTTACTATTGTGACCATCCCCAGGTACACTCTGTCCAAGAATTGCTCTACTACGTTTTTCCACTCCTCACCCCATAACTGGATTCTGCCATCACCACTTCTCACCAACACCAAGGACCTCTCTCTAGTAGGGCGTCTTGTCTGGGTGGGACCTGAGACTCAGATCCTGCTGATGAAAGGATTTAAAAGACACTTTTTCCTGTGTCTTCAATCCCCTAGCTTTCCACCTTTCGCTCTCACCCAACCCATTTGCATTTATTCACTCAGAGGGCCGTTTTGTGATTGTAGGAGAGAAAGAGGAAGACTCTCAGTGGGGATGGGGGATGGATTGACACAGCACTGCAGCCATTGTGAAGATGGCACAGGACCAGGCGGGTTTTGGTTCCATCATATAGAGAGGGTGGCTATGACTCAGCATTCGTGGGATGGCACTTAACAACAGCAGTGCAGAAGGGAAGCACTTTAAGGGTTATGCATATGGTATCTGAGAAAGATATTGAGGGATTCTAGGACTATGGACGAGGAGCTCTCTGGTGGTCTACTGGGTAAGGAGTTGCACTGCTAACTTAAAGGCAGGATGTTTGAATCCACCAGCTGCTTCTTGGGAGAAAGATGGGCAGTCTCCTCCTGTGCAACTCACAGCCTCTGCTGGAGGGTCAGCGAAGAGTCTGTGGCGACTCAACAGCAGTGAGTTGGGTCGAGTTAGGACAACAAATGGGGCACGTTGGGCTCCGGGGGGAAGGGCTAGAAGGTGCTGGTGAGCATTCGGCTTCTTTTCTATGCCTGGGCGCTGTGCTCCAGGGCCCCGGGAGGTGGAGTAGGGTGCAGTACAGAAGACCCTGGGTTCTAGCTCCACGTGGTGTTCCACGCAGGGGCAGTTTTGACTGTGGACCCTGCAGGTGGAGCCTGAGGCGTGTCACACAGTGGGGCCTTGGAGCAGTGACACCTACGTACAGACACCTAGGCTGAGAATGCAACCTGGAAAGGAAACGTGCCCCCGGCAGGAAATGGTGGGCACAGCAGAAGGAGAAGCTGACACGTGTGTGCATTAACCTGGATGTTTATGGCCTCTGTGGCTCTCAGATCAGGGAGGAGTAGACCCTGATGGCTCTAGGTCTAGGGTGGGAGCAGGAGAACAGCAGAGCCTGGGCCTGGCGTCCTCGCAGGAGTGGGTGGGGGGGACGGCGGGAGGAGCTGGTCTCTCTGAGGTCTCCAGGGCCAGGCTTCTACTCCAGGGCTGTGGGGAGAAGGTGGGCATGGGGGCAAAGGAGAACATCAGAGACATGGAGAGCCAGGTCCCCAGTGCCCCCACCCCTCCCTGGGGCCCTCTGGTGGCCCCGTCCACCCCACGCTCAGCCTGTGCCAGGTTCAGGTTCAGGATGATGGCCTTGGTCCTCGTGCAGGGGGGAGAGATTGACTGTGAAGAGAGACAGGGTCAGAGGAGTCCCGAGGTTTGTGGGAGTGGAATGCTGCCATCAAGTGGTCTTGTCCCCCGACACCAGCCCAGAAGACCAGAGTTTGAGAAATGAATCGACAGAGGGTGTGGAGGGGTATCAGGGCATGTCTGGGTCCCTGATCTTGGCAGCTTCTAGTCTGAGCAGACAGGTATGGTCCCTGACTCTGACTAGGATTCTGGCTACACAGTCTTTGGAATGTCTCATTCAATGAGTGACCAGGTCTGCCTCAGAGACATGGTCCTTCTGGATCATCTGATGGAGAAGACATGGTCCCTGTCTCTGGTAGCTCCAAGCCTGCTGGAGGAGACATAGCTCCTGACTATAGGAGCTCCCAGACTGACGGAAGAGACGGGTCCCTGACTCTGTGAGCCCTTAGTCTAATGGAGGAGACAGGCCCTACCTCTGGGATCTCCCAGTCTGATGAAGACATGGTCCTTGACCAAAGGAGCTCCCAGTCTGATGGAGGAGACAAGGTCCCTACCTCTGGGAGCTCCCAGTCTGATGGAGGAGACAAGGTCCCTACCTCTGGGAGCTCCCAG